TGACTTTAATCTCAGAATTTTGACTTTAATCTCAGAATTTTGACTTTAATCTCAGAATTCTGACAGATTTCTGACTTGTTTTCCTCAGATTTCTGACTTGTTTTCCTCAGATTTCTGACCTTTTCCCCCTCAGATTTCTGACTTTTTTTCCTCAGAATTCTGAATTTTTTTCCATATTAAACTGAAATAAAATTTGAAAACCAAACTTTTTTTTAATTTTGTCACTGGCCCTATTCCTCTTCCGTACTTTCCAGCACAGTGACAGCATGGTGATTAAAGCAGGATTGGGGGTACTGATCCCTGCTGGAAAATGAAATCAGCAAAGGGATGTGTGAGGTACTCTGAAACAGGGACAGTGCTAGATGGGTGGCCAGGGGTGGCCATGGCCACCTTCAGCAAATCATTGGCCACCCTTGTGGCCACCCCTACCATTTCCCCCCCTCTATTACAGACAGTGGCAGCAGTAATACTCTCAAATGGAATATTCTAGCTTATTTAACATTTACATTTTACATATGTTAACAGTTACTTGACAGCAAAAACACTTTGGCTAAATATGAACATCAATACACAAAGATGATAAATACAGAATTCATGCGCTTTTCAGAACTAGATTTTAACACATGGGGTAAAGAGAAAATTATCTTTCTGAAAGTCTTCTGAGTCTTCAGTGAAATCTAAAAAAAATAACTGCTTTAATAATAACTAATCCATTGAATTTAGATATTAGTACATGTAGATATTCATTTCATGCTGAACGATTTTTGATAAAAGAAGATAAGTAATTACAATGAATAAGATGTCCACCCCCAAACTCAAACGGGAAAGAATTTTGGCCGCTACACCTTTAATTTAGACATCATAGATGTTTAAATATATGCGTCTATTTGTTAGCAATGGCTGTAGGAAAGTATAGTTGGTCGTTATTTAGAAAATATGGGTGTTTTGCTTGTTAATTTTCCTGTTAGAACAGTGTAGATTGACCCTTATATTCTGGCGCCTATCCACTTTCGGCCCCCCTCAGTGTACATTGGTTATTGCCTGGCCACCCTTATTTAAATATTCTGGCTACGCCTCTGCTCTGAAATGAATCTGAAAATAGGACTTTGGACCAATTGAAAAGTGTCCCAGATACGTGTCTGGAGGTAGAAGGTAGCACATTCTAAAGTAACCTTAATACCTTGAGGATTTCCTGTTACAGTTAACTATTGTTTTTGTGTATTCTTTTTTTTTTCTTTTTTTTTTTTTTCTTCCACCCAAATTTTTGTCACAAAACTTAAAAAACAGCACCCTGAATAGATACAGCATTGTATCCATTTATGGTGCTTAATAAATAGGATGCATAATATATCACCATTAATATCTATAACAGCAGATGTTTGTTGGTTTTTATCACATCACTATATTGATATATATTTTATATCAGATGGAAAGTGTTAATAATCACATTAAATTCCCATATTTTTGTTATCCTGAAGGGGGCGTGGCCATTGTTTGCGGGGATTGATGTAGTCTAGAGTATTGGGTTGTTTAAGGCAGATAAACATGTGCTAAACAGTGGTGTGAAAATTTAAATTTTTCAGTTTCAAAAGAATAGAAAAGATAAATATATATTGGTTTTCTTTTTTTCTATAATATCTCATATCAATATAGGGTCATTTTTTTTTATATTGATGCATCCCTAGTAATTCATTTTTGAATTTAATTACTAAACCTTTGGTTTTGAAAAAAATCCTTGAAATGCACCCGTCACTCTAAAATTAGTTCTGTTATTGTGTTATGTGTTTATCTTAATAATTTTTTTTTATATCAGAAACATCACAAAGATGGAAGATGCAAAAGTGGAAATTGATGATGGAAAGGAGGAGAGCCCGCTACCAGACACTATGTACCAGTGAGTGCATTTTCAGCATTTCTGTCCGATTTGAACAGAATCATGTTAATAACCACCCTGATGCTTTTATTTCCTCATTTTACAGCAACATTCGGAAAAAAATCGCTCCATTTGTTATGTCCTTTGGCTTTCGGTGAGGTTGGGGTTAAATTGTAATCAATGTTTTCATGCTTTCCTGTTTTTATTGAAATAATTTGGATATTTTTTTTCTAAATACCTTTAGTGTATTTGGGATGGTGCTGATAATTGTAGACTTTGTGCTGGTGATTGTGGACTTCTCACTGCCAAACAAGAACAGAGAGGTCGGAGACGCTTTAGAAGCAGTGTCTCTCACCATCTCCTTCTTCTTTCTGGCTGATGTTCTCCTACGGGTTTATGTGGAAAGGTGAGCAGAGATTACTTTGTATTAGACTTTGTTTTATTCCCAGTAATATTGATTGCAAGAGTTCCTGCACATATAAATTATTATAACTTGCATATTCTTTGTCCCTATAAACTGAAACGGAATATGTCAATACATGTAAATGGTATTTAATTTAATTCATACTGTTATTTATTTTTAATGACTCCTATAATGTCTTTCTTCTGCAAAAGTTGCATTATTCATTTGTATTCTCAACCTTCCCATACTACTTGCATTTGTTTTGTTTTTTTTCTAAATTGTATATTCCTGGATTTATTTATGTCTACTTATTTATGTCTACAATGTTATTGTGTTGTCTTTGTTTAGCCATGTAGCCTTTTTCATGCTGGGTACTTGTTAAGTGTCAGGACCAACAACTGGGACTTAGGTGTGTGTTGATAATAGCTAGGATAGGGATGTCGGTTACGCCATAGAAATTAATACAGTAGTAGTAGAAGTCAATGGCAAGCCCCCACAATGATAGTGTGACACAATAGAGTGTATGTGCGTGGGGGATGTGTACTTGTTTATACGTTTTTTGGTATATTTATCGACTATCTGAGGACCAACAGGTTTTATGAAGATGTAGATCAGGTTCTAACCCCATTTCAGAGATTGGTTTAGAGGTCTGTGGGATTTAACATTGGAATGATCAACTACTACCGTTAGAAACCACTGATTAAGGCTGAAATCTCGGTGTCCAGATGGACTCAGACCTGAGCCTTCAGAGGCACATAAAGGCAGTTATTAAATCAGCCTTTTATCACCTGAAGAACATTTCCAGGATTAAATTACTGTCCAATATTACCTAGAAAAGCTCATTCATGCATTTATCCTTAGTTGAATTGATTACTGCAAAAGTGTCTTCATTGGTTTGCCCAAAGGTCACCAGACAGCTGCAGCTGATCCAAAAAGCTGCTGCCCATGTTCTCACTAGGACTATGAAAGTAGAGCACATCAGCTCGGTTTTGAAGTCATTTCACCTGCTCCCTGTATCTCAGACGAAAGATTTTAAATTCATTCTATAGTCTTAGTCTATTAACCACTTAATGGTTCAGCACCTCAATACATGACAGATTTGTTGTCAGTGTATAAACCCTCCAGACCACTCAGGTCTTCTAGTTCCAAACTACTCTGTCCACCCAGAACTAGAACCAAACGTGGAGAAGCAGCATTTAGTTCCTTTGCTCCACTGATCTGGAACAAACTCCCAGAAGACTAAAAGTGCTGGAAGCCTTATTTCTTTTATGTCAAAGTTAAAACCCATTTAACTGCCTGTTAAAGTTAAGGCTTAACTGAGGTATGATTAGTTTAAGGTCATGGTCCAATTGTTATATTTGATCTACCTGTTTTTTTATTGTTTTTATCTTTTTTATATCCGATTTTTTTCTTCTATTTTAATGTTTAATTAATGTAGAACACTGAATTGTGTTTTTACTAAATTGTGCTATACCAATAAACATACGTTACCTTAACTTTAGTTTAAGGACAGGAATATACTGGTAGTGGTTGGGTTAAATGTCAACGTTGGGCATAAATCCAGTAACTAAAACAAATGGCAGATAGTCCTTATGAGTAGAAACAGAAACCTTATCACCAAAACAAATTCCTTGCATGTGTTAGGCACTGCTTGGCAATAAAGCAGTTTCTGATCCTACATAAATGATTTAACTTAACTGTTGCCCCTCAAGTGCCTTCCTATGAATGAAGAAGCAGAAAAAATACTGTAAAGCGTTGCAAACATTCCCAAGCTCCTGTGTCAGCAGAACTGTGAGATTAGCTGTTGAGCAGGAAGTGGTGAAGAGGAAGCTCTACAGGAAATGTGTACCATGCGTTGGGCTGATTCTTTGGAATATCAGTTCAGAGTCACTTAATGCATCCAATTAATTTTATCAACAACCACCAGTACTGTACAGGAACAGCTTGTGATCTGTTCCTTTTTTAAATGAGCATTTGGGAATGCATTACTCACTGTTGGCTCTCTGTTTTAGCTTTAAAGTGTACTTCAGCTCCAAGCTGAACATTGTAGATGCCTGTGTTGTCGTAATCACGCTGATCGTCACAATGATCTACACCTTCAGTGACCTGTCAGGGGCCAGCCTGATTCCCAGGTGGGTGTTCTGGCCTCTCAGCTGATTGATGTTACTGTTGTTATCTGATCTTTAGCTGTGGTCCACCACAAATATGGCAGATGATCTGTACAATCTTGAACGTGACGGCAATTAGAAATGTCATTTCCTTTTAAATCAGGACACATTTTTGCTGCACCATACCCATAAAGGTTATAGCTTTTTATGTTTGTAATTTTCATCATGTTTAAGATCTTGTTTTAAACTGGCATATTGTCATTTTTATGTATTTTATTTTGTAGTAATAATATTAATATTTTTTTCCCTTCTAAAATGATTTTGAATTGGCTTGAATATGAATTTTGGTATAGACAAATAAGCTTTATGAGTGTCAGAAAATGGCTTCTACCATACTAATGTGTTCATCTTTCTTTGACAGGGCCGTGACATTTCTGCGCTTCTTGCGAATAATCATCTTTGTGAGGATTTTCAGGCTGGCATCTCAGAAGAAAGAGCTGGAGAAGGTCACTAGGAGGATGGTATGTTCATTTTCTGTAAGCCAGAGAAGAAATGAATGGCAGACATATTTACACACTCTGTTTCCTCCTATTGTTGGGTTTGGCTATAAGACATGTTTTTTTGTTTGTTTTTTTCAGATATCTGAGAACAAGAGGCGTTATCAGAGGGATGGATTCGATCTTGATCTAACTTATGTAACAGGTGAGGGTATATTTTTTTTATTCTATTTTATTTAGAAATAAATCAATATTAAAGTTGGCATGTTTTATTCTACATAATGTTCAGTAGTGTGAAAAGTTAGGACATCTCAAAGATTAATTTCTTATTGACTTATGTTTTCTTTCAAATAATTGGAGGGGAAGCAGCTTAATTGCACCAGTGTCAGGATGCCTTTAATACCTTTTTTTTCTCTTTTTTTTTTTTATGAGGGTATACACAAGTATAAAAGTTAAACAAACAGTAACTCATGCCAGCTGGCTGCAGATGAGTCCCTTATTGACGGCTTTGCCTCTTTTGGTAGAATTGAGATGGTAAGGTGATAGCAACGCAGGCTAATGTTAGCACTATAGAACTGATGTCAATACAGGAGGAGGACCAGATCACGCTTTGGAGGGCATGCTCTCATCAGCATTTATGGTTTAATTGATTTAAAAAAAAAAAACAGGACACTTTCACATATACCTGTGCAGCCTTTGTACAGTACAGTCGGGTCTTGAATCTTTTGTTCTTTTGTCTAAAAGGGGATATATTTCCTTCCCAATGAAACTAAACCTGTGTAGCCTTTTTTCATAGCATTGATATACAAATTCATATCGAGCATTCTGCAGATTCCATTATGACATTTGTTTTTTTCATTACTCATTTTAGAACTTGAGCTTATAGTAAAGTATTTTTATTATCTTTTAAATTATTATCAAATATCAGTGTGTCTAAATATGTTTGAATCATCATAGGATGTGCTAACTTTGTTCATGACTGTAGAGATATCTGAGCCTGGAATACTCCCTTTACTCCCTTTTAGACCGTGTCATTGCCATGTCCTTCCCCTCCTCCGGGAAACAGGCCTTCTACAGAAATCCAATCAGGGTAAGTAAGAGTGGATTCAGACAGTTATCGTTGGATAGTCCTGAACAAAACGTCTGAAATACAGTCAGTGGGTATAAACTGTTCATGGTTACCATTAAATCTCATTCTGCAGGAAGTTGCCAGGTTTCTAGACACGAAACATGGGGGCCACTACAAAGTTTACAACCTGTGCAGTGAGTTGAACTGTGTCTCCTGCTAAATTTCTGCTTAATGTTGATCCCCCCCCTCCGACACTACTCGTGTTTTTTTTATTTTTTTTTATTCCAGGTGAAAAGGGGTACGACCCCAAGTTCTTCCACTACAGGGTTGAACGAGTCTTTATTGATGACCACAATGTGCCCTCCTTAGAGTAAGACACTTTTGTTATTTATTGATCTCATCTTATAAGTATCCTTTATATATGTTGTACCATATAGCTAGTTTATTATGCTCTCTCTAATGTGGATTTTGTCAGAGACATGCTGAAATACACAGCAAGTGTGAGGGAGTGGATGTCTGCTGATCCTACAAATATCATTGCTATTCACTGCAAAGGAGGGAAAGGTGACAATAATAGATCCACCTTATTTTAATTACCTGTCTGGGTGTCTTCATACCTACTAATTCTCTTTCTGCTGTCTATCACAGGACGCACAGGTACTATGGTGTGCACATGGCTCATTGACAGTGACCAGTTTGAAAGTGCTCAGGTTGGTTTCTGGTTTGTTGAGAGCAGGGTTAAAGACTGAGCTGGTTCTTTTAAAACAAAGCTACTTCTGTCTGTCTGTTTGTTTCGGCACCAGGACAGTCTGGAGTATTTTGGTGAGAGGAGGACAGACAAGAGTCAGAGCTCCAAGTTTCAGGGAGTTGAGACTCCCTCACAGGTAAGAAAAGGAGCTTGGGCATTTTAAGAAGAAATGTTATATTGAATACTTCATTTAAAATGAACTTGGTTTTACTGAAACCTGGTCATTTAGTTTTACTTCTAAATGGCATTTCTGCTTGGGAGCTGTAAGGAATCACACAGGAATTTCCTAAAGCCTCCTTTCTAGAAAAAACCTTTTTCAACAAAACATGGATGAATATACAAAGCATTCATTTGGTAGATCTAGTGTTATTTTCTTGTCTAATTTGGTGCCCGCAACATATTAAAATCTTTTAACTAAAAATTACTCCTTTAGATTTATTAACACTAGTAATAAAGTGTTATAGTGTCTCTGTATTCATTTATTCATTCATTTATTATTAGAACATATAAACTGGGGACAATGTGGAGAAATAGAATAGCATAGAAAATCACTTTATTGTCCTACAGTGGGGAAATTGAGGCGAAAGAGCAGCAAAAGATTACAACAATAGTGGTCACACAAATGTGGACCTTAAAAAGTCTATATAGAAATAACAGAATAAGTGAAACAGGTAAAAAAAATATAAAAATAAACAAATAAAATATTGTACTATACAATGTTTTATATAAATAAAATGTTATAAATGCTGTGCATCTGAAGAATAGATGGTCAGCTTTACAGCTTTGAACATTTTTACAGTAGTGGATATGTGAAAATTAGAAGCAACAACAGAGATGTACCACAGCATGTTATTTAACTAAAGGCTGGGCTATACACGGACACCAGGTCGTCTAAGTTATTTAAGTGACTAAGAGAAACTGCAAAAATCAGCATGAATATAACAACTGATTAAGGTTGTTGGGAACATTGATGGTTATAAAGTCTTACAGCTGCTGGGAGGAAGGATCTGTCATAACGCTCCGTGGTGCATTTAGGGTGCAGCAGTCTGTCACTGAAGGAGCAATGACTTTTGCTCACTAGAAACGCATTCCAATGAAATCACTTTTTTTTTTTTCAGATAGTTTTCACCACAGTTCATTGATGTGTTACAAAATACTGCTTTAGAAAAGGATTTCTAACCCCAGGCTTGTGTAATTTTAAAATGAGTGGGATACAGAAACTGATGGTTTACACTCACCCTGGTTTAGTGTGTGATTTTTATAGTCATTAAAACCCCCTGAATGATTAAATATTTGCTTTGAACCACAGAGCCGCTATGTCGGATACTATGAGATCATGAAGAACAAGTACAACCGCCAGATGCCTCCACCTAAAAGCCTGAGGATAAAAAGCATCCGGATTCACTCGATAGCAGGTACCACTGCAGATCCACTCAGATCAGCTGCTCCAGCAGTGCAGGGATCTAGTAAACATGTTCTCTCATTCATGCCCAGGTGTGGGGAGGGGGAATGGCAGTGATCTGAGTGTGAAAATAATAGTGAAGAAAGAATTGGTCTTCGAGTGTGTGTGCGCCAAGCAGAAGAACTGCAAGGTTAGCTTCACAGCATTAACTGATCGTATATTACCATTTGATTTTTTTTTTTATTAATGGATTTTTATTTTGAAGGTATTTCCTGACGTGGGCAGCAATGCTGCAGTAATCAGCCTGCAGGATGGGCCTATGGTTGAAGGGGATGTCAAGGTTATGTTTGAATCGAGTGCAGTGAGTTTTACACCTTCAACTAGAGGATTTTAAAAGTTAACGTTTATCCATACGGTTCTGATATTTACTGCATCCACCAGGGTCTTCCGAAAGGATATGAAGACGTTCCTTTCTACTTTTGGTTTAATACGTCCTTTGTAACAGAAAACAAGTAATTTTTTTTTTTTCTTGCTCCAATGTGAACATTTTTATAACCACATGACCTCTGCACCTTCTGATCACGTTTTCTTTTATATTTAGGTTGTTTCTGCCCAGAGAAGAGCTTGACAACCCACACAAGTCTAAAACCTGGAACCTATACAAAGAGGATTTTGGTGTCACCATGTTCTTCTCAGAATCTGATTAAAGCCACAGTACAGAGAAAAGGCGAACCAAAAAGAGGTGTAATTTTGGAAAAGGCTGTGAAGAAATCAGCAACATAAATACTAAATAGTTTGTAATAAACTGTCCAAACCTTAAACCTTTTGTTTAGACATTGGTAAGAACTGGATCCACCCGATTAAAATCACTACAGTATTGCTTTGATGTGTTTTGACTCTTAAATCTGAAGTGTTGGAACCTTTATGATTAAACCAGTGGTAAATCAAACTCATTTCTGCATTCTGACTTGTTACTGCTATCTACGGTTGCTTTTCAGTAATGGAGGATTCAAGAAAATGAAAATAGAATTTTCCATAAGGCAAATGTGAGATTTTTTTATAAATTAAAATGTGGCCTGGACTGCAAAAACTGATCTAAAAATAAAAATGTCCGCAAGTGGAAGAACTATTCTGGCCCACAAGACGATGCAAATTTAGTGTTATTTTAAAGGTAAATGAATCATTGTATTCCACTGTGCAAATGGTCTGTCTGCTCAAATTAAGGGCAAATAGACTTCGAGAAAAAATTACTATTTTTGATAGTGTGGGGAAGAGAACTTCAGTTCAGCAAACACATTATTGACTTTAAAAGGAGCAAATCAAAAACATTCAGTGCTGAAGTTCACTATTTGGAATGATTTAAGCAAACGTACTGCTGGACGATCAGGTTAGAGGCAGAATGTTTTTTTTGACAAGGTGCTATAGGAGCCGCCTCTTCTTCACTAATACAGGTCCTCAGCTAATTGTGGATGTTTTATTTAATCTGGATGAAAGGAATTTTGAACTTTTATTGTATTTTCAGACCAATTTTCACAGAAGGATTGAGTTGCATTTAATTTTAGAAGCAGAGTGGCAGTCTGAGGGAGTGGGGCTCCAACTCAGAAAATCAGGATTCCAAGCTCTATGCCCTTTCCACTAGGCTGCCACTCCTTCCAGACTAGTGGCTAGAGCAGTGTGCTCATGCTCCGAGAAGGTTGCAAGTATCCGGTTCGATCCCCACAGCCTCTGCTCTGGGTTCCTGAGAAACACCCTTAACCCCACACAGCTCAGCGGGCGTCGCATAATGGCTCCCCACTGCTCCCCAAGGGGATGGGTTAAATGCAGAGGCAAATTTCTCCAATGTGAGATCAATACATTTAATTATTTAAATCAAACAGCAGCTCTGACCAAGCATGCACCTTTTACTCTACAGTAAATTGATTAACTTCTAAGTCCAGATTTATTTCTGAGCTTTCGCATTTCATATATCTTTGTGGAACAAAATTAAGTCTGTTAGGCCTGAGCTTTTATCATCAAAATGTAGAACTTCTCCTGAACACAGCTTTGCAGCAAGTCAGAATTCCAGTATAAAAGTCAATTTGTTTAATGTACCATGAATAAAAACCTTTGAGTATTAGATATTCACCTAAAATTAACCCTTTATAACTAAATTATTTTGTGATTTTTTTTTTTTTTTAAGTAAACATAGATACTGACTTAAAACAAAACAAGCAATGGATCAAAACTATTTATTGTTCTTCCATGCAAATAAATTAAGGCATGTTTTACAAATTTTTCACATGAAGCTGGTTTTAAGCATGATGTTTACATCAGTTTATTAGAATAGCCTTTGCAAATAAAGTGCAAACAAAGTAAAAATCTAGAAAACAATGTTGGTAAATGATGGTGTGGTTAACAGATAACACAATGAGTTAATTTGCCAGACTAAAAATCCTTGTTTTTACAATCCTTAAATGTTAAATACTGTTGCAATATCATGTTTCCAGGCTTTATCAGCTGTGTGTCTATAACAAAAAGGAACATTTGAGGAAATTAGAACTCGAGCAACTATAAAGCAGCTAAGGGTTGAGTTGTTTACCTATTCCCTGAGAAAAGGCAACCAGTTCGGTAGAACAGCTAAAAAAAAAAAAAAAATCCTAGTACAGTAATGTCTACCGTTCTGTGCATTTCAAGTAAACAGAAACTTTTAATATGCATGGCAAGAGTAGCTTAAATTCAAAACCTGCTCCTAAACACAAGGTTGGACAAATGTTTGTTTTTTTTTTTTTTTAAATCAGCTCAAGGTGATGCAAATAGTTTATGCGTTTTATTTTTCAAAACAAAAACGGCTCGATTTCAAATGTGCGCAAATGCTATTGATCATCTTTAAATACAGACATTTTTGGCTCATATTGCTTTTCACTCCCTTTAGTCTTTCAGTTTAACCTTTATCAGGTCAGCAGAGAGTTTTTCTTGCAGCCCGAGCCAATTTCCCTCCAAAGCCATTGCGTTGGTCACACTGGTCCAACTCATCAGAGCGCCCGCTTCGCAGAAAACAGATCATTGTAGTTTTGCACGCCTCCCTGCAGGACTCCGACACATGTCCTTTATGTCTGAGGTACCAGAACCTCTGGAAGGTGCGGTCATCATTGATAAAGACTCGGAGCAGTGCTTCATAATCCGACGGGAACAGACTGGAAAGACCGTAAGCTTCAGTGGCTCGGTACAGGAGGCTCCATTTGGGGTCCTGCTCTGGATCGCCTGGTGACTTGGGATTGTGATTGGCCTCGGTGAGGTTGAGGATGTAGGTCTCGTGGTCAAGCACAAGTCGAGAGCTGTTTTTGTAATTTCCATCAACATAGTAGACGCGGTACCCTGAAGAAAATGCGTAGCTTATTAAAAACTTAAAAGGGTTAGGAATAATCTCCAAACATCCACAACTATTGACTCACCTGGATTAAGGTTAACAAAAGTGGTGACACTGGGGGCAATGAAAGCCACTCCTAAGGGCCGGCTCATGGTTTCTTCATCATAAAACATTTGGAACTCATCCAGATGGGTATGCCCAAAGAACTGCCCTGTAATTGTACTTTCGTATCTGAAAAAAAAAAAAAATGTTGCAAAAGGAAAACTTCGAAACCCCAAGACCTGAAAGTGTTTAAAGTCATTAATCCAATGCAGAAACACTCAGGAAGTGGTAACAGATGCTCATAATAAAAATCAGCCATGCATTTTAAGACCTTCTTGTTATCTTTAATATTTACTATTATCTAACTGGACTTAAAATGAAAAGAGGAACTGAGAACATTAACATCCTCTCTGTGCAATATAAAAGTCAACTCCACCTTTACTGATTGCAAATGACAGAGTAGTTACCTGTTGACAATGTGATAGTAGTTCCAGCTCCAGCTGCCAAGACACAGGCCAGGTGGGATATGGCCAATGATGTGTACCTAAACACAGCATAATTAAAACACATTTCTTCAGTAACTGCATTTAGGTGCAGTTTAAGTTGCATGTACGTCACAGAAATAAAGCATCAGAGTGTGGTGGGACTCGAGCTTCAACCACAATGAACCCATGCGTCATATTTTAAAACCAAACGACGAAACCAACCTTCTCGCCCCTGTTCTCGCTGTCCTGAAGAACTTGAACTAGCCACTGCAGCTGATTAGCAGGATCACTCGAGTTCACCATCAGCCAGAAGTTTTCTCGTGCGCAAAAGTTCATGTTGAGGGAGACCAACCTCAGCCCAGGCTGGATCTCCACTGAGTAGAACCCTCCATACCTGGAAGCAACAGAGGAGATGCCGTATAAGGAGCAGTCTGCCGAGAACTGTCACCACTTCTGCTATTTTTGTGGTCAGATGTGCAAGACCTGCAGCAGCAAGTGGTGTTCATTTTTTTTGTAAACCTAACACTTGGTTGTTTCCTCTTAAAGCTGAAGTCTAAGTTTTTAAAAATCACTTTTTTGTCATATTGGCTAAAACTGTCCCTATGCCCAGACAGCAGTACATGTGATATGTAACCTTTGAAAAAAACTGCTTCAATTGGTCCCGCCTACTGCCTGTATTGCAATCTGGAAAGAATATTTCGAGACGAGACAAAACAACCAATCACAGCCAGAGGAGCGTCTGATGGAGTGTCAATCACAGCTCACACACGCTGAATCCCGCCCCCTCCCTCTCACCGCTGAACCTGCCGCTGCCGCCCGGCTGCTGCAGTCAGGAGGACGCGCGTGGAAGTCATGGCGGAGCGACAGCCACCAGCGAAAGAGAAACTGCCCTTACTGCCCCTGCCGACAACTGCTTACACGGCAAAGACTTCAAAAAAGAAGATGTCAATGGAAGAGCTGCCGCGTACTCTGCTTGGATGCTTCTGGTCGCATGCGGTAGCCGCGCAGATGCTGTGAGAGGGGTGGAGCTTGGAGGTGGGGCATGAGTGAAGCAGAGAGGGTGGGGGAGTGGCGTGAAACCTGCTTTTCTTAAAATTTTCAGTCGAAGTCTGCTCTCTTCTCAATGTAACAGACTGCAGCTTTAACACGCAATCTTAAATTATAGGAAAGGCTGACCTGTAAACCATCATACAGATTCTAAACATGAAAAACGGAACTAGGGCTGAAGAAATTAATGGGATTAATCTAATTAACTAATTAACTAATTTAGTAATCGATTAATCGTTAACTGGAGTATAGAGACTCTAAAACATGCCTTTACCTGACAGGGCAACTTTTTGTCTATCCAGAACTCCTCAAGTGCAACATTTTTAGTTTCACCTGGTTTATTTCCGTAAAAAGTCTTCTTTAATGAACCGTTGGCTATCCGATTATTAATTTAAAAAAATTATTGACAGATTCATCGATTAGCAAAATAATTGTAAGTTGCAAGAACCAAAACATAAATCTGGCATACCTTAAAGTCTTCAAAGCCTGCTCTGGCAACCAGACTGCCCATTCCTCAGCCATTTTATCATAGAGCCAGGAGGAGGATCTGTTGCCATGAATGAAAGGTGGTGGGAAGCTGTTGACAGGTGTGCTCTCATGATTTCCTACCGCAGGATAAACCGTGACATTGGTTCCCAGATACCTGGGGGGAAAATGAGACAATAATCCTTAGAGAATTGTTTATGACAAATGTATAATAAAGGCTGAAACTACAGCAATCAGCATTAAGGTGGAAGGAATAAGTTCATGAATATAAGCATTTATCTTTGTTTATTTAAAAGCACTGTAGAAGCTTTTTGGTGCCACTATTTACTCCAATTCATTTTTACTTCATCCACCAGAGTAGAACAGGTTACCCCAGGAAGGGTTAGTCTGCTAAACATTTTCCTCTTTTGCATTTTATATGCAAGGTATTTCCATTTAAATGTCTTAAAATCCTGATTGGAGCCAGTTGTTTGGCCATGGGTACCCCGCCTTTTACAGTAACACTGCTGGAGAACAACAGCTGCTATTATCCTCTGTT